TCATAAAGAAAATATTACGAAATTTTCAAGTTTAATTAAGAGGGTAATCTCGTGGGTATTTGGACTCCTAGCGATTTTACGCACGAATTATGCCGATGTCATCCGGCCCCATCCATATAGTCGTGTACATACACTTCCGAGGTTCTACGGCCCGATCCATGATGCATCCCCCATATATATACACTGTAGAGGCATTCGGCCTGATCCACATGAAAGGAAAAAATTTATCGAATTACGAGCTACGTGTTTATAATATAAAAACGGGAGCGTAAAGTAATCATGACTTTTACTAATTTTCGAACATCTTGCCAACAACTCAAGGTAATGAGATTCAATCGATCATGATCTCTAATCACATTTCATTTATAAGTCTTAGATAATTAAACTAACAAGTTGAATTCAGATAATACAAATATTGCATGATAAAGTCCTAAGTCTACCCGGACATAAGCGTGATATTAGCCACGTACGGACTCTCGTCACCTCGTGCGTACGTGGACCTCACAACAAGTAGCAAATAACAAATACACACATACAGGCAGTTTCCTCCTCACAGGGTTAGACATGAGACTTACCTCGCTTCGAAGTTTCATAACCGGCTCCAACACTTCTCTAACACCTCAAACATATGCCCATCAATCCGAAACCAGTCAAACAAGATGCAAATCAATCAAAATATATTCCAACGCTCATAATTAATCAATTTATAATAATTTCTAACTCTGCTCGAAAAGTCAAAAAAGTCAACCATCGGGCCCACGTGCTCGGATTCCAAAAATTGTTAAAGATAACTTTACCAATAATGCCTTGAACTCAAATATATGATTTATTCCAAATTCTATGTCCAATTTCCTAGTCAAAATCCAAAAATATGATTTCTAGGTTTTTCTTCAAAAATCTCACAATTTCTATCAAATTCCATGTAAAAATCTATATATAATCAAAATATTTATCTCACAATAAGTGGCAATAACTTACCTCATAATAAATGATGAAAATATCCTCTTCTAGAGCTCCAAATATTACCCCACCAAGTGAAAATGAGAGCTAAGTCCCATCTTAAAACAACTCTGCCCAGACGACCCTTCTTCGCGATCGCGGAAAACACCTCGCGATTGTGGAAGCTAACTTACCTCGCCCAGGTAATTGCTCTATCCGAGTGCGAGATCCTTCTCGCGATCGCGAAGTATAGCATGCACAAGCCACTGTGAACACGGACCAAACAACTCAAACGCGAAGGCCTAACTTAGCCTTAGCGACTTACCTCCTATGCGATCGCGTGAGTCCTTCCGCGATCGCAGAGCACAGCTCTCCCAAACAGGCCTGCCTCCACAACCCACCGCGTTCATGATTCTGCCCACGCCAGCACGAAGAACCATCTGATCCAGCTCCGCGATCGCGACCCCTTCTACACGATCGCAATGAACAAAACCTTCATCATCCCAGCTAACCCTTCGTGATCACATTCCTTCTTTCGCGATCGTAATGCACGCAAAACACACCAGAAACCAACAGTGATAAAACAAGGAGAATTTGTGTGAAACCACTTCGTAACACACCCGAGGCCCCCGGGACCCTGTCCAACATACCAACTAGTCCCAATACCTTATCCAAACTTATCCAAAGGCTCGAAACACCACGAATAATCTCAAAATTATGAATCGACAAACAAAATCCTTTTTTCAACTTCCAAACATTCAAACTTCAATGAACGAGTCTGAATCATATTTAAACATTCTGGAATGATGCCAAACTTTACGTACAAGTCACACATCATGATACGAATCTATTACAATACTCGAAATCTCAAACAGACGTCGATAACACCAAATACCACTTCAAATCAAAATTAGGAAATTCTTAAACTTTCAAAATGCCAACTTTCCATAATAAGCGCTGAAATGCCACACTACCCGATACTCAACTCGAACATACGCCTAAGTCCAAAATTATCATACGAACCTATTGGAACTTTTAAATCTTGATTTCGAGGTCCTTTACTCAAAAGTCAAACCTTGGTCAACTCTTTCAATTTAAAGTTTCCGAATTGAGAATTTTTCATCCAAATCAACTTCGAACTTCTCGAAATTCAATTCCGACCACATGTACAAGTCATAAAACATGAAGTAAATCTACTCAAGGCCTCAAACCGCCGAACGACACGCTAGAGCTCAAAATGAATGATCGGGTTGTTACATTCTCCCCCACTTAAACATGCGTTCGTCCTCGAACACGCCAAGAACCGCTCCAGAGTTGCCCAAACTCACTGTTTAACACCATGTGCACATACTCTTGCCAGCACATCCCATATGAGCACATTAACTCAAATCAGAATGAAGATTCTTCCTACTATGTTAGCCCACAAGACGTACGAACACCGTATCAATCTGAACCCATTGTACCAAATATGATCATGCACCCATGCTGAACCCTCACAATGCACCGCATAATTCGTATGCCCATAATATCATCCTTCAACCGTAGAAGCTGCAAATTCACTAACCCGATTCCCATAGTATACCTCGTAATGTGCATAAGCCCCGATCTAACTCTCGCAATACTGGAACAATAAAAGTGACCCGTAGAAGTTCATAACCACCTGCCAAATCAATAAATCACGGAGTCTCTCTGCTTGACAAGAACCATTACCTCATTTTGAACTGAATAGTAATATTTTCCCTCTAATACACCTTATATAAATCCGATCGCACTGATTTTATGTCCAATAACCTCGTCTCATCCAGTATAAATTTCTCGGGAAATAAGCCACCTAAAACACCATCTAAAATCCCATATGATACCATTAAAGTGCTAACAAGCTATAACTCGAATATGACGCATAAATAAAAACAAACCCTGGCAAGAACTACCCAACCCGCGTAGCGAATAAAATGGCCGAACAGATGTTGTGAACCTATCTCAGAGATGACAAACAAGACACACAAAGTAAGTATAAGGAACCATACTCAACATCTCACTATTGCGGCGTGTAACTTGATCCACACATGATACCGTTGCGGCGTGCAACCCGATCCATACAAAACCATCAATAAGGAAGTATCTACCGAGCCAAACTGCTCCTACCCATGAAACGCCTGAATATCGACCACAAGCATGCCAAGTGCATAAACACAACCCTAAGGATATGGATAGTGCCATGCGCTACAAAATCCAAGCTCGACTAAGGTGCATCAAACAACCGACATCTCGTAAGCCATCCCGCTCATATAATACCACAAGCTAAGTCAGATCACCACACACGTGAAAATAATCACTGCCTCACAATACATATGGCATAAAAAAAGTAGCACCTAGAATAGACAATGCTAGGAATATCATCCACTATGCCCCGAAGAATCATCCATAAGCAATGATATGTTGAACGATCACATCTTACCTGATGTAGAGCATACGTACACATTAGATCTACCAACGGACCTCAAGTCGATTCTGATCACCCCATACTAGGCCAATAACCTTTTAGTGATCCACAATGACCCCATTTATGACACATACGAGCAGCCATCCAGACATAAACTCTCAAATCAGCGACAGTACCAGAATCTTCATACCCAATTTCAGTCTCTAACAATCAAATGACTAACACGTCACACTTATACGATATTCCTGTGGGATATACTCCCACAACCTTCCGCACCAGATAGCAAAATCGGAACATCAATGGCCATCGACCATACTATTTCTGTAATTCCAATTAAGAATCCACCAACCAATGCACAATGCCTCTTCCACAGAACACTGTCCTCAGGTGACATTAAGATAATGTTAGCTTACTCTGAACATCTGAATCCTTCCCCCAGCTCTTCCGAGCTCGCGACATTCTTATCAAAACCAAATCGTAACTTGATCCTCAACTTCCAATTCCCATAGCGCTCATTGCACCTATCATGTCGCTACATGAGAGTACAAGAATTCCATCATAGCCCCTGAACCACCAGTGGACTAACCACTTCATTGTCTAGAACCCTCTCACTCCACTTATTTCGGAAGAACAATTGCAACACGTAACTGAATTCCCATATCCGCAGAAAATGCAAACCTCAAGTTGTAGTCTAGACCGCTAACACTTTCGGGATTCATTTACACATAACAAGGCCATCAGAATCAAATAACCCCAATCAATCAAATTACGGTGGCTGTCAAACTCACACGTTCAACCATAAATCACTTGTATAGCTTAACACATCGAAGGAACCGGTCACTTCCACGACCACGTTGATTCAAGCAATAACTAATAGACTCAACTCTTTCCAATTTACTCTTGAATTTCCTTTGGAATAATAGTTTTATTCAAACACATAACATACCTCAAACAACACTTATCCCGAGGGACCCAAATCATGATATCACATCGTCTCAATACCCATAAGCAATCACATATCCTTCTCGTGCACTCAATAGTGTCTCCAACTGATACACATGTTCTTAAAGATCTTCTAAGAATCCGAAGTTATTTCCTTCTATCTCTCACTACAAGAAAAAGGGCTTTTAGTGGCGACAAAATTTGCCACAGAAAGTTTAATTGTCGTCACAGAATACCTTTTGTGGCGACGACGTGGCGACCAAGTGGCTGTTGACTATACTAAATGACAGATACTTATTGGTAGCGACTTATAATGGTCTCCACAAAAGGTCCACCTCTCGTGGCGACATTTGTCGTCACAAAACTTATTTTGGATTGCCACTAGAATTCACTTTAGAGAATCCGTCACCACTAAAAGCTAGCCTTTGGTGGCGACTATGGGTGCAACCAAAGCCTGACTTTGGTGGCTACTTTTATCGCTACTAAAAATTATATTTTAGTGACAACTTGGTATTGCCACCAAATCTCCATTTTTTGTGGCATCAAAATGTCGCTACTAATTATATTTTCTTTTAGTGGCAGTAGGTTATAATCGCAAAAGCTCCTATTTTTCGTCACAACACAAGTTTTCCATAAAAGAAAATATAAAACTATAAATATTTGCACAACCCGATAATAATTCTCAAAACAGAATTATAGTCTTTTTAATGTTAAAAAGTCTACACAGTCAAAAGTAGTCAATGTATATACATTTCCATTTCATGACACAAACAAAAAAGGAATAGTCTTCAAGACATACTCCAATGTCTTCTACGATAAACAAAACGACCATAAAAATATTTTCAAACTACACCTTGAGCAACTCCACTTCCTCGTTCTTGAAGTGTCTTGTCCTTGCTATTAAAAAATAAAGATGAAAATCATTAATATACGCATATGTACAAAAAAGACTATAAGTTTGAAGAGGAAATTAGCCGAAAAGAGCGAGAAGATGTAAAGCAAAGAAAGGTATTTCTGGAAAACTTTNTATATATATATATAGTAAGGATGCTTAGTCTAAATTATTATAAAATATTTCAATCAGTGTGAGATGCAATTGATACTTTGTGAAATTCAATTATCAAAACCAAAACTAATAATAATAAATCTGAAGTTCACGAATTGAATTGAATGCACAAAGTCGTATTACATAATCTTTGTCCAAATTGTTGAAAGTAACACGACAACGTAATATTTGACTAAGAACCTACTGAAACCATCTATAATGCACAATCAATCACCAGTCAATAAAATAACATAATTGAATTCTATGCAGTCGGCTACCTAACAATGATTTATTCATTCCCTTGATATGGTGAGTAAACACACACTTCAAATGATCACCAAAAAACTACTTATGCATTGAGCAAAGAGGGACATGTACTAAACACCAAAATGACCAGAGATAAATTTGAGAATATTTTAGTAATTAGTTGGTCCCCATATCATCTAGATTGGTTTTGTCAGCAGATTTAGCACTCAGCAAAGCAAAAGGGGGGTGTTTTCTTGAATGTGAAAGGAGAGGGTGGGGACAGTGGAGTCCCCAGGTATTTTCTTTTAAATTTAGACATAGTACTAAGTTTAGTTTAAAAAATAATGGATACATGTAAAATGAAAAATCAGTATATACTCTGTCACTTTTTAGGTAAAGGTATGCTTCTTTCCCTAGAATAGCTTTATAGTAGTATTATTGTCCATGTCTTAGTAAATGTAAGAAAATGACAAGAACAATTGTTATGTCCAATCTCCACTGATATGGAAACTGATCAAGTTAAATTAGTAGAAAAGGAGAATCATGCCATATAGTCCCAAATCTAAAATAGCAGAGTCTAAATATTCTAAGTAGTGCTTTTAACTGTAGTCAACTGGTTCTTACTAATTCTTGATATTTAAATTTTAATAAGAAAAGCTACTTGCGGAATGGACTGAGTAGAAATTCTTACATATGCTTATGTTTTCAAGGAGAACTCATTCAGTTTTAATAAATATAGAGTAAAACTAATTTCAAGAGAAATACCTATATAATCTTATGATTTATGAATATACACTAAACTGATTTCAAGAGAAATCCCTACCTGTTGCATTCTGATCAGCCATGCATCTATCTTTTCATCAAACTTTTTGTCAACTTGTAAATCTATCTGTGCACGCTCAGCAACCATTTGTTCTTCTAGCTTACTTTGCAACTCAGCAGCCATTTCTTCTTCTAGCTTGCTTTTCAACTCGGCAACCATTTGCTTACGTTCTTCTTGTAATTTTCTATCCATTTTCTCTTGCATCTCTTGACATATTCTTTCCATTTGAGAAGACATACTCGCCTCTAAGTCTACCTGCTGCAAACTGCTTTTTTGTAGGCTTCTTTCCATACCCTTTTCCATAAACATAGTCATTTCGTTCACCAAGTACAATGGCTAAAATCTCATCTGCACTCATTGGCTGCTCATTTTCTTCAGATTGTTGTTGAGTTACAATTTCCTTGAGTTGGCCCTACAAATATGTATGAATTTATAGTATAAAATAGGAAACATATAATAAAATAACAAAATAATTATGCTAAGAAATTACATGAATTTTTTGCGACTATGGATCCGACCATACAATTTTTCCTTTGCCATCCTTACGAGTATGTTGGAGCTCCCAAACTCGATATGGTGCTGCTTTGTTTCCACTAACAGGATCTCTCTAAAATATATTTTAGTAGAGGGAAATATTTATAAGCACATAATATGTTATAAATTAATGATGAATAGTTTTATAGTGATTGTGATAAATGCATTTACCGTCGATTCCTCCACTTCGGCAAATGACTTTGAGCCACAAGAGTGATTAGTTATCTGTTTTCCCCTATTAAGTTTGTTCCTCTCACTTGCAGCCTAGCAATTAAATCAATACATAAGAACCAATAATTAAATATTGATTTATCAAGAATTTTTATTACAACGTTACCTTGAATTTTGGACTCCCAAAAAGTCCTACAAGAAACACTCAATTCTCAGGCGTAACATCATCCGGCCTATGAGACAGTCTCTCTTTATCAGTAGTATAGAGATTGTATTCTTTATGCAATCGAGTCTTCCATGCTCTAAAAAGCCTTCGCATAGTGTCAACAACAAGAACTTGCAACACATGTTCTCGCATACCACTAGCTTCAAATTTATCCTAAAATAAATATGTAAAGCTATTGAAAGTAAATAAAATGTATGATATAAAGTCAATGTAATATTGAAAGTAAATTATTACCTTAACCTTCAACCACGTCGCTTCTCCATGTTTCGCAATTATCGCTTTCCAATCACCATCTCTGAATGAGATAGTGCTCCCCATAATCAAGCCACAGTAGTTTACAATATCCCTAGACCCTGGACCTATAGCTCTCACAATGTCATCCGGAATGATGATGGGAATTTTACTGCCATACTTAGTTTTCATATCCATATGTAGAGATTTGTATCTCCCTCAGCCTTTCTTGTTATCTCTATTTTCACAAAGATTACCTTTACAAGAATAAAAAAATTTATGTCATACTCACTTAATAAGTAGGTTTATTCTACATGACTTTAATTGTTCATGGTTAGATCATACGGAATGGTTTTAGGTTTAGAATTTGATGGGCAAAATAACTTTTCTAAACCCGATAAATTACGCATGTGTTCTTCTATGATAAATGGATCACATATAGTGAGCTGAACAGAAGATATAAGAGAGTGAAATTGAAGGAGTGAAAACTGGGATCATTTAACCATTGATTTGTTCCTGATTAATTAGCAGGTCATCGCCTTCTAGTTAAAGGTTGTGAGTTCTGTTTTATGGATGCTACACTTAAAGCTACACCAGTTTAACAAAATTGGCAATGTCTTTACCAACTAGCCCTCCTTAATTATAATTGTTTGAAAGATATTGATTCATTCCAACTCTGAATTGGCAACCTTACTGTTTGTTTCCTAGTATGCAGAAGTGGCTTTAAATCTACTAAGTACTAGTAATAAGCAACAAGATTATTTATTAACAGAAAATAACACTTGGGATAGAGTATTGTAAGTCGTGATCAAGTTCTTGTTTAGAGAGAGATCAGAGAGCAAAATAGTGATAGTGTTGGGCTGCTGGTAAAATAGTGATAGAGTACTGCCATGTTAGGCTACCTTTTAGTGATTATACTTCCTGAGTGCAATTTTAGAAAGCAAAAACTATATGCAGAGAGGTCTTTGGTGTAATGAAACGATATTCCCATATAGGCATAAAATATCTAAATTCATAATGACCAAACAACTTGTACTCCTTCAAAAGTGTAGGTTTATTATTTGATCCCATAACATATAGAGTGAACAAACAGAATAAAGTTTGTATGTTCAATACAAATAACCAAAAATAACTAAAAAATGCCAACTGAAATACATGATTCCGATTCAATAAAGAACTAACCTGCACCACTATTTTCAGTCTCTGGAGTGGGATGCACATTTTCTACATAAGCCCTTGATGATAATGAGTCCATAGATTGTACTTGATGCGGGTTACTCGATTGTCCCATATCTGGAGATAGTTGTGTTTTGTGGATTAGGTCTAAAGGATGACCGCAATAGAATTATCATGTAGTACTCCTACATTACCGCATCCACGACCCTTTCCACCTCGCCTACCTTTACCTCGTCCAATTCCTGTCATTTCCTGCAGCATCACATAAAAATATAAATAAAGATTTACATTTTAGAATTCTTGGTTAGAATCCGCTCAATGCACCATAGAAACTTTAGTCTTCTCTACAATATTTATATCATATCCTCTCAATTCTAAACTGAAAACAAATCAGAAATCAAATTACAACAAACCAAGCAGGACGCAATCCTTCAATGACCTTGAACCAAAGGACAAACCTTTTAACAGGAATAGAAGATAAAGTATCAGGATAGTTGCAATGCAAGATAGAAAATTCATATTAATGGCAAAATAACAGAGGCTAGAAAGGCATAAGAAGCCTTGCTTAAAAAAGCACAAAACAGCTACAGATAGGAAGTTATTTCTTTGATCAGTCCATATCATTATCCTCTCCTTCATTATCATCAAATATCTCTTCTTCGCTTTCTTCATCTTCGGTCCTATCTATATCATTATCATTAATGAAACCATCTTCTTCATTATGCCCACTTGTCCCAGCTTGTTCTATTACATGATCATAATTAATGATGTGAGGTTCAACATCATCCCTGTGTAAAGATACTAAAATATCATTTTCTTGATCACCATTACGCTCCATATTAAATTCAACTTCCTTTTGTTAGTAAGCTTCTCCATTTTGTATTGTTTCATCTTCAACATTTGTGCAATTATCATCCTCTTCGGGCATATTAAAAAGGTCGCGTGGACTTGTCTTTAAAACAACAAGCTAATCTTTATCAACCATGCCGTTGACATAGAAGACTTGTTCAGATTGAGATGCCAACACAAATGGCTCATTTGTATTCAAGCCACATCGAGTATTCATACTTGTGAAACCATACTTGTCAATTTTATATCCTTTTCCTAAGTGAGCCACATCCCACCAATGATACCTGAAGAGGTAAACTTTTCTATTTCCCATATACGATATCTCGTAAATGTCCTCTAATACACCATAGTACTCCTTAAAGTCTGAATCATCTCCTCTCACAAGAACTCCATTGTTCTGTGTTTTTCTTATTGATTCAAGATCTTTTGTTTGGAATCTAAATCCATTCACCATCAATATGGAATATCGATACACCACTGGTCCAGGACCTATTGCTAAGCTTATGAGCTCATTATTAGCATTTTCTTGTGCAGCTAATTGTAAGATCTACAAAGTAAGACAAATAACTCCCTCTTAACCAATAATATAATAAGATAATCAAAAAGTATTCAAAATGAGATTTGATTCAACACTTACATGTGCACGAAACCAAACAGTAAAGTCATTGTTACGCCTTTCAGCTCTTCTTGAACTTTGTCTTTCAATCTCTTTTGCATGTTGCCTGCATTTAGATAGAATTATTTAAGAGAATGAATGAATTATTCAAATCTGAAATCAAATCCGAAATTATCTCAGAATTGATTAAAAAATAGAAACTTACTCCATGAATGAACAGACCTCTTCACAATTTTGAAGAACATACATACATGCTTGTTTAAATGCATCATGAGATAACGTGATGGTTTTTGAACCACCTTTTGTTTGCCCACTATTTTTAAAGATGGACATTTCAGCATTTGACACGGATTCATCGCCATTCCTAGCCGGTCTATTAAACTTGGTTGAGATATTCTTTAAGTATCGTGAGCAAAATGTGAGGCTTTCTTCTGCCAAATAACCTTCTACAATTGAACCTTCTGGACAATTTTGGTTTCGAACATAAGACTTAAGTGTTCCCATATGCCTGTATGCAAATGATTAGTTAATATAATTAATGTGTCATTCTAAAACTTTAGTATTGAAATTTATATGAAAAATATATTACCTCTCGAAAGGGTACATCCATCAAGTTTGAACTGGTCCACCAAGCTTTGCCTCTCTTGCCAAGTGAATTGGCAAATGAACCATAACATCAAAGTACACCGGAAGAAAAATAATTTAAAGTTTGCATAATATGATAGGAATTCCAGCCTCTAGGATATCAAGATCTTCAATTGTCAAGCACTTAGAGCATAGATTCTTGAAAAAATTTCCTAATGCTATAATTGGTTCACACACTTCTTTAGGCAACAAGCCATGTATAGCTACTGGAAAAATATCTTGCAACATACGTGGTGATCATGACTTTTCAATCCATGTATCCTTTTGTCTTGTATGTTTACGCACCTTGAAATATTTGATGAAAAGGCATCAGGAACCTTCAAATTAGCTAAGAAAGTGCATGCCTTCAACTTCTCATCGGGGATAATACATAGCATGCTGCCGGTAATAAAATATTGTTCCCATCCTCAACTAGGTGTAACCCTTGCCTGATTTCAAGATCCACCAAGTCATATCTACTTTTCATCGTGTCCTTCGTCTTTCCAGTCATATTCATCACAGTAGATACAATATTATTAGACACATTTCTTTCTACGTGCATTACATCTAAGTTATGTCGTAACTTAAGAGTCTTCCAAAAGGCAATTTGAAAAAAATACTTTTCTTCCTCCAATTATAAGCATCATTGGGAACATTACGCTTTCGCTTTTGCCCTTTACCATAAGTCACATTTCTCAAACTTTGTAATTTCTCAAGTGCTTCGTCACCTGTTAAGGGATTAGGTGCAACACCCTATCTTTATTTTTCCATCAAATAACCTCATATTTTTACGCCATGGATGGTCCATTGGAAGAAAGCGACGATGACCCATATAACACAACTTATTACGTAAAGAAACCGATTGTGTTTCTTTATGGCAACAAGGACATGCAAGTTTACCTTTGGTTAACCATCCTGAAAGGTTCCCATATGCAGAAAAATTATTAATTGTCCACATGATAGCCACACGCATCATAAAATTAGTTTTTGAGTATGCATCATAAGTCTCCACCCCCTTCCATAATTCTTTTAACTCTTCAATCATTGGTTGCAAGTATACATCTATATCATTGCCTGGAGACTTAGGACTTGAGATAAGAAGTGTCATCATGAAATATGGATCCTTCATGCAATCCCATGGTGGCAAATTGTATGAAACTAATATGACTGGCCAAATGCTATGACTAGTACTCATGTTCCCATAAGGCTGAAAGCTGTCACTTGCTAAACCTAATCGAACATTTCTTGATTCAGCTGAAAAGGTTGGATGAAGCTCATCAAAAGATTTTCAAGCCATGCCATCAGATGGATGTCGCAATACACCATCATCAATATTTTGCTCCTTGTGCCACCTTATTTATTTTGCTGTCTCTCTTGCCATGTACAATCTTTGTAGTCTTGGTTTGATTGAAAAATGTCACAAGACTTTATTAGCTACTTTCTTGCCTCCAGTATCTTTTGACTTCCATCTAGACTTACTGCACTTAGGACATGATTCGGCATTGGCATACTCTCTCCAATATAAGATACAATCATTATCATATGCATTTATTTTGGTATAACCCAAGCCTAAGTCTTGAAGTGCCTTCTTTACTTCATAAAAAGAATATGGTACAAATGACCCCTCTGGAAGCACTTCTTTAAAGAATCTCAACAATGCATCCATTGATTTGTTGCTCCAATGATTAAGGCTCTTCAAGTGAAGTAGTCTAACTACAAAAGACAACTTTGACACTTTTTTACAGTCAGGATAAAGTTCTTTCTCAGGATCTTCCAACAATTTGTAGAACTTTTTCGCATGCACATTTGACTCTTCATTTTCCTCTTGATAATTATTCATATTCTCCATATTTGTAACTCCACAAACATCATGAATCATTTCTGGAATATCATCTGTTTCAACAGTATCATCATCTACTTCGACATTGCATACATCATTAAAAATTTCAACTCTTACTAATACTTCTCCATGCAAGTCCCACACTTTATAACTGTCCCAAAAACCTTTCCTCACCAAGTCTCTTCTTACTTGGATTCTTGTCTTGAACGCAGTATTTCTATACCCTTTACAAGGACACCGAATTACAGAGCTCACATTTGATTGATTGTATGCCCAACCAAGAAAGTCATCTATTCCTTTAATATACCTTTTGTCACATCTATCCCTAATATTCAACCAACTTTTATCCATATCTTTTCTACAAAAAGAAAAGCAATCAATTAACCAATTAAAGGGAATCAATAATCAAAGCAAACCAATTATAAGCAAGTATTGAACTCAATGATTCTACACGAGTATAAATCAATAATGGAAACACAAGCTATATAAATAATGTTTGAACTGAATAATTCTACACATGTACACACACTAGGATATAGGACATCAATATTTTTTATAATAATGAAAATACATTAAATATGCTAAAAAATAATTAAATACCATAAAATGGTCTTATAGAAGACAAGTCCCAAAAACATCAATTCAATTGTCATGTAAGGTTAGACTAAGTTTATTTTTCCCTTCTCAAAAAGTGAAGAACCTCTTGTCTAACTTTAAATGTCATGAATGAACTCCATTAAGACTCATAGTTCAGAAGACGATTTAATGTAGAATTTGTTAAATTAACACATGTAATCATTTTGTATTATCAGTAAAACTAAAATAGATTAGTTAATGGAATTTCAATGAAGACAAACACTCATACTGAGAAAGAACATATATTATAAAATATAGGGAATGAAACTAATACTCATGCAACTCCAACTTGGCCCAAGAGTCGAGCTCTGGCCAAAATTTCTTAAGTTAAGACCCCTGCAAATCATAAATCATACAAAGACATACCAAAAGAAATAGGCATATCGGAGAGATTCACCACAAAAATTAGACTCTGACTTTTTTTATTTCCTAAAAGCATGATATCTGATGAAATTTGGCTTATATCAATTGCAGAACACAAATGTAGCACTGACTTATAATTACTAACTCTCAAGACATTAGGAAAAATATATAAGACACTCTTAAGTTAATAAGTATACTAATGGCATGATATCTGGGCTTAGTTAGACATTGAGGCATGTTCAGGTAGTAGAGATTTTACAATAGCAAGGAAGATTCTATGCAAAATTCGGGCAAACTTCATGAGTTATCTCACTACATTTGGAATCCACCAACTCAAAATTCATTAGTTCGAACCTAATTATGGCAAACTAATTCTGGTAACAAGATCAAATCACAGAGAGCAAGCATATATCTTTTGGGCAGAATCTTTTCATTTAAAGAAGTACCAAATTAATCGTTTGGTCCCTAAGGGCATGGTGTTGTAAGTGAAATACAGAAACTCAAATATGTACTAAAGTTTAACCAAACAAATGCACATACATAAATTTATTACCTATTTGGTTATGCCTAAGTCATGATTTCTGGTTGACAGAATACTTTGAACGAATCTGAACGGGTCAAACTGATGATAGTTCTACAGTCAAGTTTAACAATAAAGTTGAAATCAAGCAACAAATAATTTCTAAACTGATTGAGAAAAAATAGCTTACTGATATTCTTTGGTAAAACCTCAGAAAATCAAAGAAACAATACACCTTCGTTAGGTTCTTCAGCGCAGCAGGGTAAATATCGCCATTTGGGTGAAAATGGTCACTTGGATTCTTCGATTTTGTATTCTGGCTTAAGGCTTTTTTGAAGAGAGAATTTTCATTTGGGTTTTGAGATTACAAATTGATCTCTTGAGCAGATCTCTACCCTTTTGAGTTAGGGCTACTTTTGAGTTCTCTACCCTTTTTTAGCGTGAGAGATTTTTGAGAATTGAGAGCAGATTCTTTTAACTTTAAAAAGTAGAATAAATAACTTTATATATTTCTCACGTGTTTGTATTTTAACTTATCCTTCAAACTTTAAAATGAAAAGAATAGTGGCGATCAAATTGCCACAAAAGTCAACGAGCAAAATATTTGGAGCCAAATTTTCTCTTTTAGCGGGAAAGTAAAAATTTATCCTGTAGCTGAAAATATTTGTTGCGACTAGATAAAGTTGCCACTATAGTGTCTTTTCCGTGGCGACCTATTATAGTCGCCACAAATAACTTTACCTTTCTATTGCAATTTTCTAGAGTCGCCACTAAATCCCTAACCTTTGTGGCGATTAGTAGAGTCGCCACTAAGACCTGCCACTAAAAACCCTTTTTCTTGTAGTGTCTCTAACATCACACCGTAGACCCCGGTGCTAAATAGAAACACTCCAAGTCCCTTTTCATAATCCTCTGCAAAAACTCAATCCTTAACCACACAACGGACCCAAAATCCTTAGGCATCGCACTTTAATTCTTGAACCCACTAGAACTATTATTGAGAGTCACCCACTCTGACCTGGTCCCGAATGTGACCAAACTCTAGTGCTCCGCTAGCACACGAACACTCTCAAAGAAGCAACCAGATGAATTCTTTCCCTTGTACATCACATCCACAAGAAGCATAAACTCTGAGTCATCCCAAAATCTGCACATGAATCGGTAAGGCAAAATGTAGCACATATACATCAAAATCCTTGCTCGAAATACCCTTGATGTTTACTTTTCTTGTCATAACTAATCCACCAATGTACCGATAACCAAAAACTGGACAGTCACACAACCACGTGACCCAATCATAGACGGTAGGCTCCCCCACTTAGCTTTAAGCTATAATCACATAAATCTAGAACCCACAATGACTTCTCCTTTTCAATTACCATGATCTCGCATCGTTATCCCGCCAAATTTCTTGTAATATCTTGTTAAAATTTTTGATAAAATATTTTGAATTATAAGCCACAATCGCACATTCGACCTCCTGACAGTCGTACCATCTTCTTCAAGCGATCCAAGCTCACATCGCAGCACATGCCTCCTACTAGGTAGAAAGTAGAACTCTTTGTAGGAACTTCATCAAAATCACGCAACTGCTAGCCTGCTCATAGGAGATAGCCCACCTGCTTAATTCCATTTCGACATCTTCTAACGACAATGCCCTGGTTACAACTACCCGAAATCGGTAAACCCTCATGATCCCATGCTCGCCCACCAAT